GGGATATCAAAGATATTGTCCGATGATTTCAGCATTCCATTGGGTCACCTCTCTTTGGAATGGGCACAAATATGGATCTCTTCCAATCAGTTGGCCAGATTTCTTGGCATAGATGAATGAGTGCCTCCTGTGCTGCTTCACTTTGTTGAAAGATTTCAGTTTTTATTCCATTAATTCTTGGTACTTTATTCTTTGGCAATTCCTTCAATGCACCTTGGACTTCCTGTCAGTATCATTGGCTCTTGATTATATGCTACCTCTTGAAATGGTTGAACATCAAACATTTCCTTTTGATAAAGTGATTCTGTGTATTCCTTCTATCTTCTTTTGATGCTTTCTGTATTATTCAATAATTTGCCCAGAGAATCCTTCAATTATGATAGTCGAGGCTTGAATTTTTTCTTCAGTTTCCCCAGCTTGAGAAATGCTGAGCGTGTTCTTCCCTTTTGGTTTTCTGACTCCAGACTTTTTGCACATTTTGTTGTAATATTTGTCTTTATCTTCTCAAGCTGACCTTTGAAATTTTCTGTTCAGCTCTTGTACACACTCATTTCTTCTATTTGCTTTAGCATCTCTACACTGGATAGCAAGTTTCAGTGTCTCTTCTGACATCCATTTTGACCTTTTCCTCTTTCTTGTCTTTTTAATGACTTTTTGCTGTCTTCCTGTATGCCGTTCTTGATGTCATCCCACAACTCTTCTGGTCTTTGGTCTTTAAAGTATCAAGTTTGTTTTTCAGATGATCTCTAAATTCAGGTGGGATATATGCAAGGTTATATTTTGGCTCTCGTGGACTTGTTTTCATTTTCTTCAGCTTCAGTTTGAATTTGCATATGAGCAATGGATGGTTTGTTCCACAATCTGCCCCTGGCCTTGTTTTGACTGATGATATGGAGGTTTTCCATCTTCTCTTTCCACAGGTACAGTCAATTTGATTTCTATTGTTCCATGTGGTGAGGTCCATGTATATAGTTGTCTCTTATGCTGTCTGAAGAAGGTATTTGAAATGAACAAATCATTGATTTTGCAGAATTCTATCATGCATTCTCCAGAATCGTTTCTAACACCAAGGCCATATTTTCCAACTATTCATCCTTCTTCTTTGCTCCCAATCTTTGCATTCCAATCACCACTAATGATCAAATACATCTTGATTGCATGTTTGATCAATTTTAGATTGAAGAAGTTGGTAGAAATCTTCTATTTCATCCTCACTGGCTTTAGTGGTTAGCGAAGCCAAACTAATGTTTGGTTTTAAAAAGACTTCAGACTCCAGGTTCAAAGAAGATCTCAGGGTAATCATTTTGGAGGTACATCCAACCTCTGTGACTCAAGAAAGTCTGGAGTCTATGAGAATTTGAAATTCTGTTCTGTAATTCTCTCCTTTTGATCACGATTCTTCAATAGAACCATTGATCAAAATGTTTATTAATGTTAGCTGGATATGATCCAGTTCTTCTGGTGTCATGTGCCTTTGATGTACTTCACTGGAGAGACTGGGGTGGTGGGTGGGGTGAGGCAAGGAGTGAATACAGCCTGGAAAGACGAGTGCCTTCAGGACACTGTAGTGCTGCCACCCATCTGCATACTAAGCACTCATTGTATGCCAGGCCTGGTGCACGCTACCACCTGTGGTCTCCACCACTACCCCACTTTCCAGAAGAGGCAACAGAGGTTCAGATAAGTGATGTCCTTTCTCAAAGTCACCCAGTCAGCAGGAAGACTTGAAGGCAAGAAGCGCAGGGTCTGAAATCTCCCCCTTCACAAATCTCTGTGGCCTCTCACCCTAATCACTGGGTGTTTCGGACACAACACACAGGCAACACACAGACCTGAATTAGCCACAGTGTTTGTTTTTTTTCCAATAATAACAGAATATATATTCTTCTCAAGTTTACATGGAAAGTTAGAAGTATAGAAATACAATAGAATCAATAAAATCAAAAGTTGTTTCATCGAAAAGATCAACAAAGTTGATAAACTTATCATTTAATTATTGTTAATTAACTTATCTTATCATTTAGTTGTTGTTATTGTTAGGTGCTGTTGGGTAGGTTCTGATTCATAGCAACCCTAAAGTACTCTTCAACACTTTAAAGAGGTCTTGTGCAGCACATTTGCTTAATGCAATACAGCCTTTGATTTCTCCACTGTTGCTTCCATGAGTGTTGATTGTGAATCTGAGCACAATGAAGTATTTGACAACTTCAATCTTTTCTACATTTATCATGATGTTATTTATTGGTTCAGTTGTGATAACTTTTGTTTTCTTTACATTGAGGTGCAACCCATACAGAAGGCTGTGGTCTTTGATTGTCATCAGTAAGTATTTTAAGTCTTCCTCACTTCCAACAACAAGGCTGTATCATATGCATATCACAGGTTACTAATGAGTCTTCCCGTAATCCTGATGCCATGATTTTCTTCATATAATCCATCTTCTCATATTATTTGCTCAGCATACAGATTGAATAAGTATGGTGAAAGGATATAATGCTGATGCACATGTTTCCTGAGTTCAAACCATTCAATAGTCACCTTATTCTGTTCTAAAAACTACCTCTGACACTATGTACACGTTCCTCATGCACACCATTAAATGCTCTGGAATTACCATTCTTCTCAATGTTATTCACAGTTTACCATGATCCATACAGTAAAAAGCCTTCTCATTAGCCACAGTGTTTTGAGGCCCATTCTTTGAAAAGCAAAACTGTTTGGTGGCTTTCTTGGCACACTGGTGGATACCTCTTCCCCCACCATCCACAGTACAGCTTCCCTCTGGCGTTCCTTTCCTGGCCTATCTGGATGGGAGCCTGCTTAAAGGATGGACAATTTGGGCTCAAGTGGGTACCCCCTGAGCATAAGTGACAAGGAGCATGTGCTCGCTACTGGCAGAGACAGTTACCAGCATGGTAACAATAAACCTTTATTGGGCGACTGGGGTGTGCTAAGCACCAAGCTGGATACTAGGCACACATTAGTTCACTCCACCCTCTGAGTGCTGGTGTAGTGCTGTAGGATAAGCACTGGCTGGCTAATCACAAGATCGGCAGTTCGAACCTACCAGTCACTCCTTGGAAACCCTATACAGGGTTGCTGTGAGTCA